AAAAAAAAAAAAAAAAGAACTAGTATGAAAGTTAAAAGACACAAGTAGTAAAAAAAAAAAAAAACAAAAAAAAAAACACCTAAAACTAAAATAATTAGTTAAGAGATACACAAGATACAAAGATGCAAAATATGACAGCAAAAACATAAAACATAGAGCAGAGGGAGAGTAAAAATATAGAGCTTTAGAATGTATTCAAACTTAAGTTATCAACTTAAAATAGAACAACTTACATTTGTAATAGTCTATGTAAGCCTCATGGTAACCACAAAGCAAAAACCTATAGTAGATACACAAAAGAGAAAGAGAAAGGAATCTAAGCACACCACTAAAGAAATTCATCAAAGCACAAAGGAGGAGAGCAAGGGAAGAAAAAAGGAACAGAGAGGAACTCCAAAACAGCCAGAAACAGTTAACATAAAGGCAATACGTACATACCTATCAATAATTAAATATAAATGAATAAAATTCTCCAATCAAAAGACATAGAGTGTCTGAACGGATAAAAAAAATAAGATGCACCTATATGCTGCCTAAAAGAGACTCACTTCAGGGGCGGCCCCGTGGCTTAGTGGTTAAGTGCGCGCGCTCCACTGCTGGTGGCCCGGGTTCGGATCCCGGGCACGCACTGACGCACTGCTTCACCAGCCATGCTGGGGCCGCGTCCCACATACAGCAACTAGAAGGCTGTGCAACTATGACATACAACTATCTACTGGGGCTTTAGGGGAAAAAATAAATAAATAAAAATTATTATAAATAAAAAAAAGAGAGAGACTCACTACTTCAGATGTAAGGACACACAGACTTGAAGTGAAGAGATGGAAAAAGATGTTCCATGCAAATGGAAACCAAAAGAGAGCTGGGATAGCTATACTTACATCACACAAAATAGACTTTAAAACAAAGACTGTAATAAGAGACAAAGAGGGATATTACATAATGATAAAGGAATCAATCCAAAAGAGGATATAACATTTGTAAATATTTATGCACCCAATATAGGAGCACCTAAATATATAAAGCAAATATTAACAGACCTAAAGAAAGAAATAGGCAGCAATACAATAATGGTAGGGGACTTTAA